TACTCCCGTAAAGATTTACACCCTCGGAAACCCTGTACAGGGTCGCTATGGGTCGGAACCGACTCGACGGCACTTAACAACAACAACAACATATATCTACTTTAGTATTCAGATATGTACCTAACTACATTATCCAATAATATAAACTATAATAAAAAAATATGACAGATCACATTAGTGTCCTGCTTTTAAAAATTTCAAGGACATCAACCTAGATTTCTGAGGTACAAAACTAGAGCTCAGAATTACTATAAAAATTAGCAGTTGAAAACGCTAACAAAATGCATCAAAGAGTTAATAGAAAAATCAAAACCTCTGATTACAGTTATATCTCATAAAAATGGTAGAGCTTATAGATAAACGAGTAACGACAGCCTATAACTTATCATTTTACGTTTCATTCTAATTTTATATAACTTTCTAGGAGAAGTAAACCAAAATTGAGTTTTGGTTTACTCTCTTTACAACTGAGTTCCTGGTCTTGGGAATTAAATGGCAAGCATATATATTTTCACTATCAAGCTTAAGACCACATTTCAACTAGCAAAGAAGCCCTACCAAATCTAAATTGAATACTATAAAACAACATATACACAAAAAATTTCTGTAGAGAACTCTGGTAACTTGTTATCTACCTTTGTTGTTATTGTTATTTGCCATCGAGTCATTTCCGACTCAAAGCAACCCTAGATAGGGTTTCCGAGGAGCAGCTGATGGGTTTGAATTGCCATAAGGATTAAATTAGATACTATGAGGGGGCTTCAGAAAGTTCATGGAAAATTTTCACTGTCTTTTAATTCCACTTTTCCATGAACTTTTTTGAAGCTCCTGTGTAATTTCATAAGCAAATGCCTACTAAGCAAATTACACAATATGTACTCATTTCATATCTCTCCCCAAACCTCAATATAAAGCTCTGATTAGAAACTTTTTGTTGTAAGCTACGCCAAAAATAATTATAGAAATATGTAAAAAATAAAATGAAAAAGAGCTGGAGAGAACCTCAGAGATTCGATTAACAGGTTTATTTAAAACCCATCACCTACCAAGTTATTTTCTGGTCCTGCTACCTTATTTTACAAGAAAGAAAGCAGGCACAGAGAAGTTAAATGACCCAAGTTTATTACCCAAGCCATGCTCTACTGACCAAAAAAAAGAAAAAAAGGCAGATATCTGTTCTGCTCTCTTTAAACTCCCAATTCACTTAAAATCCAGAGACAGTATTTCATCGAAAAGTTTTTGACACTAAGGTTGAGAAACACTATTCTAGACAGCCTCATAAGAATTGGACTTGGGCTGTGGATTTTGATTTTCCTGCTCCTTGTGACAAAGATCAATGACCACAACTCAATGTAAAGAAAACAAAATCCTCACCACTGCACCAACAAATAACATCACGGTAAATGGAGGAAAGATTGAAGTTGTCAAAGACTTAATTTTGCTTGGATCCACCATCAACACTAATGTAAGCAGCAGTCAAGAAATCATACAACATACTACATTAAGCAAATCTGCTGCACAAGACCTCTTTAAAGTGTTTAAGAGCAAAGATGTCAATTTCAGGATTAAGGTGCACCTGACCCAAGGAAAGGTATTATCAATAACCTCATATGCATGTGAAAGTTGGACACTGAATAAGGAAGATCATAGAAGAATTGATACATTTGAGTTATGGCACTGGAGAAGAATCTTAAAAGTACCATAGACTGTTATTAGAACAAACAATCTGTGCTGGAAGAAATACATTCAGAATGCTCCTTGGAAGCCAAGATGGCGAGACTCCATCTCTCATACTTTGGACACATTGTCAGGAGGGACCAGTCACTGGAGAAGGACATTATGCTAGGTAAAATGGGTTAGTGAAAAAGAGGATGATCCCAAAGGAGATGGACTGGCACAGTGGCAGCAGCAATGGGCTCATGCTTAACAACAATTGTGAGGGTGGCACAGGACTGGGCCGTGTTTTACTCTGTTGTGCATAGAGTCCCTAAGAGTTGGAATCAACTCAACGACACCTAACAACAACAACAAGCCCCATTCTGAAGCTAGAGGAAGTCATAAGCTGACTTCCACACCATTATTTTGACAGTTGGAACTTGACAGTTATGTAATGATGTTGTCAACCTCTATTTGTGATCTGATGTAGTTATCCTCCATTTTCAAATACTCCTGATTTTTGCTTATTATTACACGTCAATAGATAAGGAGTGAGTGTAGTTATCAAATTACTCCCTATTATATCCCTGTTGCTGTTGTTAAGTGATATCGAGTCAGTTCTGACACATACGCGACTCTGTATAGGGTTTTCGAGGAGCAGCTGGTGAGCTTGAACCACTCACCTTGCAGTTCAAAAAGCTTTGTAGTCTAGCGCATTAACCCAAAGCACCACACTAGGACTCCATTAGATAGTCCCAAAGTTACTATGCATTAGGAAACTTCCAATAGCCTGTGTGTTCATACTAGCACAGTCTAGCCAACATATGGAATTAATTTTGTTCCCAAGCCTCATTTATATCTTTGGCATGACATTTAATTATATTTTGGAATGGTTTTATATATTTATATCAATATTTAATAAATGTTCTTGATTTATCTGCACTTGACTATTTGCATATTATGATGTCAGTCAGGAAGATAATTAAATGATACAATCAAATCACACTGAACTTTGTAATAAAGTACTGAGTCTAGCCCACATATTCCTCTTTTATTTCTCATGAATTTCGGATTTCATCATAGCTTTCTTAAAACGGATTTAATATATTGTATGAAATTATGAGAATGATTTAATGTGAATTTCCTAAATTTTTAATATACAATTTTCCTTGGAAATCAATGCTCTGCCATGTAACTAATCCTTTAAAATAAAGCATAATTAATGAGTCCATAGTGGGTATTTTTTTAAGTACATAATTGGAATTTTGAGAATACTGGGAAGAAAATACATTATTACTAACAACTTAAGTAGTATGAAATAAAAAATCCTGATACTACTTGTTGTTGTTGTTAAGTGCTGTTGAGTTGGTTGAGAGGAAATCCTATATTTGAACTGCCGACCCTGCAGTTCAAACTGACCTTGAGGTCCACTGCATTATCCTACAGCGGCACACCAGGATGTGGATACTACTTATAGCACTTATAAAACATTTAAGCACACTTAAACAGAGTATTTCAGAATAGAGAATCCAATTCACAATATAGAACAGTCATAAGAGCAGCAAGTAAATAATATTATGGAATTCAGAGCTCTTTCCCTGAAAAACAGCAAGTCAGTAATATTAGGAATTTAGAGCAGTCCCTGAAAACCAAAATTTTAAAAGACTATTTCTTGATTAAGAAAACTTCATCTAGCTAAATTACTATAAAAATCTAGACGACAATTTTTTTTTAATTATTAAAGATCAGTATCAGAAAATAACTCATCACAGAAACTTTCAGAAACGTTTTCTCTATTAGAAATTAGAAAAGACAATTATATTCATATCTATTATCTTGAATAATTAAAAGCCTAACCATAGTTCTGGGAATCAAGTGGTATTTAACCATAAATTTCAGTTCTGGGTAATTTATACTTTTAAAGCTACAAATCTTATTTATATTTTTAGTTAAATTTTACTTAACCTCCGAAAAAATTTTTGCTGATGTACCTAATTTTCACAGATGATGTTTTCTCAGCATGTAACTCCACTTCCCCCATGAACTTTAACACAGGACTTGTCAGCTCTCCTTCAGAATGTCATGTGCACAATCAAGAACAGTAAAAACTTATTTTTTACAATAGATAATACTACTGATATGGGACTGATTTGCTTATTCTTTTACGACTGCCAATCTTTTTCTATACAGTTTGTTGTTGTTCCCAGGAAAGTAAAATACGTTATTGAGCCTTCAAGTATTTTAAAGGGTACTACTGAAGTTAATATGAGGACACAAAGATCTCATTGCTTGATTTACTGACTTATTTTGTTAACATTTGTTTTTTTTCCAATTAAGTTAGATTTTATATTCACAATACATAATATACATATACAGTATTTTTCCAGTATTTTATAGAGTTTGATTGTTCATAAGATAATTAAACTTTCAAAGATAAATGACAACTCATATCACACACTAGAAGACAAATTCATCTTAGTGTTACAAACCTGCACACTATCTGCAATGTTGTTAGAAATATAAAAATATGCTACTTTCATCTTATCTTAATAATAATACATAAAACAGGTCCCCCTTTAATAAAAGATGACATTAAAGGATGTCTGTCATAAAGTGAAATTTTAACATAAGCCATGTTTGAAGATTAGAACTCTGAGGCTGAGTTATTCTGCTGGAGAGTTAGAAAAACAAAATTACA